AGACGTTAGAACAGACCGTGCAAGGACACCTAATTTTACCATTTTCGTCTTTAACATTGTCCTCTGCGTATTGTGCAAACTTTCTAACTCCGTCCATATATTGCATAGATGCCCGATTCTTTAATTGTATCAAGGATTTATCAATTGATGCCATACCTAAACCAATGAACTAGATGCAATTAGGACGATAACATCAAAAAATAATTTTAAGTAATTGTAAAAATTAATATTTAGCATATGTATTCCCATTCACCAACAAAAAATAATATAAAATTCAAATATAATTAGTTAAGTATATAATTGTAAATTGTCTCAAATATATATAGATATTTTTTAAAGAAAATGGAATATGTACGAAGAAAATGGGAATGGTACCTCTTCCCGTTCTTGAATTACTTCCAGTTCCTGAACGAGAACAGAACACCGCCCGGTCAAAGTTCTCCACCGGCGACGTTCAATTGAAGAATTTTCGGCAACGTGCGACTGAGCAAACCACAGCGGCGGGCGCCTGAATCAAATCCAGCAGCGTTTAACTGAAGAAATTTCGACGGTCTACGACTGAGCAAACTACGCTGGCAGGCGTCTGAATCAAATCCGGCGGCATGCAGTCGAACCCAATATGGGGGTGGAAATTTTGTGAATCCTTCTCTCTGCAAAAGAGATTGATTTGTGATCCTAGATGAATGATTACCATGTTGTGTTCTTCTTCAATCTCATTTTGTATAAGTCTCAGTTTCTCAAGTCTTCATCCGTTCGACGTTTGCCTGAATTCATGAACTCCGATTCAACCGTTCATTGCATCAATTAACCACATACTTATGAATTATCCCTTTAATTCAATTAATTAGAGGCCAACCGTTTCTATGTAACTTCGTTGCAGTTTTCTGCAGACGGGATGAATGTAAGTTTAATCGGAAGGGATGAAGGGGATGAACCGAGTTTGTGAGTCGATTGAATTCCGACATTATTCCAATAATAAGTAGAAAAGACTCGGGGATAGTCATGAATGCAGGAACGGTGAAATTGGTGAGTAAGTCATATTTCAGTTTGAAAGTACAGTGTTCAATCCTCCATCTTGTTTCTTTTTTTTTTTATTCTCAATTACCGTTTTGTGAAATAGGGGCACTGGGGGTGTAAACGACATTTCTCAAAATTCTTTGACGAACAGTTTACGACGACCATAATTTTTAGTTGGAATTGAAAAGTTGTTCTGATGTATATAGTAATCCTCACAAATAAGAACATTTACGAGGAAACAATATTGATCCTGAAAATTACTCGTCGTAATTTTTTTTTATTCTAACGATAATATTTACCGCGTCATAATATAGCTACATTATCGACGCACAAATTAAACTTGTCAGTATTATTGCATATTTACAACGGCAAAATAAATTTCATCATAAATAATTACCCAAGATCCCTCGAATATACCTAAAATATAATTTCTCACGCAATTTATTGTCATTTCCAACGCAATTTTTTTTTGTCAAGAAAAATATTTACTTTTGCAACAATTTCTTTTTTTCGTTGGTAATGATGATAATTTTTAGTACGTCCACGCCCGTCCCCAAAACGATGTAGTTTTGGACTATTGGTATACAACCTAAAAGAAGGATCCAGAAACCATAGGAACCCCATTTCCTTTCCTTTGTGTCTACCGACGGCCGCGTTCAACATATTAATCACAGCTTGCCCTATTTACCATTTCAACTGCTCCTTCTGTTGCTGTAGCCATGACGAAAGTGGTGAGCTCACTAGTGCACGAAGTGCTAGCTAGGCAAGCAAGTCGAGGACGTCGATTAGCCTATCATCGACTACATCGTGAACGTCCTCGCTGATGAGGACTTTGATTTCGGCGAGGAAGGTGAGAGCATTTTTGAAGCGCTCTACAAGTTCTTCGTCGACGCCGAGTGCGTTTCTGATTCCCCGAGTGCTGCCGGGTAAAAATACTACTCATCTCGGCTTTTATCTATGGTCCCTCCCATCTCTTGCCGAGAAACCTGTTCAGCTTTGTTTCAAATTGAATCAGTGGAGATTTCTGGCAGGTTTGAATTGATCATTGAATACAAGGTTTGGGACTTTCGTGGGCAATCGTGGGTTGCCCGAACCCGTCGGCGGATGGGGACAGTAGTCAATCTCCCCTCATTTAGTCGCCATGGACGGGGATGGGAAAATCCGTCGAGGTTGACGGGCGGGGATCGAGAGGCATGTACCCGTCCCCGATCCGCCCCGTTATCATCCCTACTTTTGAGATAAACATTAGATTTGAATACACTATGACAATTTCAGAACATGACAATTTCATTTTTATTTTTAACAATGATTAGCAATGAGTACTTCCCGAGAAATGAGCTAACAATACATTTACATTCCTTATAAGAAACTGAGTTATCACATACAAACACGATGAGTTGGACGAGAGTGTGATGATTGAAATCGCAGGTTTTGTTGTGTTGACCTCGGAGTGCACGACTTACTATGTTGTAATCTATATTATGCCCTTTGTCGATAAACCCTAGGTCTTGAGTGTGAGAGTACATTCTTGGTGGGATGAACGGCCAGAATCGGCGATCTTGAGGAGTTCAGAGTCTCCACTCAATATGGGCAGTACATCTTACTTCTGAAAATTGAAAAGTAGTGTTTAACATACCCTTTCTTCTCGATATTTACCCTATTTTCTATTCATCTATAGTCATTTTAGAGTGGATTTTATTCCCATTAGTTCCTTTGTGTATTTGATAGATAGCGTCTAGGAGCTTTTTTATAATTTCGATGCATTATGGAGATATTTCTTTATGTTTTTTCAGCCTTTGACATCATAAAATACGAGTGAACAAACACATGGAATCGAAAGGGATCAAATTTCAGATCGATTTTCGAGATAATATGCAAAATGGCGGTGCAATATAACTTGTCATGTAGTCATGAGCACGACACGGGTTCAGATCACCATGCACAATCATAAAATCTCACATTCTATATCAGGCATAATATTGAAAAAATTGGATAAACCCAACCCATCTTTATGATGGTGACTAGGTACAAATTCAATTTGGATCTTCCAATTGGTTACCCTAGGCGTCCCCTTCTCCAACATTGACGTGGATGAATTTTCCGTTTGTATTCAGTTTTTTTTGTTGCTCTTGAATTTTGACCTTGATTTTGACCAATTGGAAGCCGTAAGGGCGGGGATCGAGAGGCATGTACCCGCCCCCGATCCGCCCCGTTATCATCCCTACTTTTGAGATAAACATTAGATTTGAATACACTATTACAATTTCAGAACATGACAATTTCATTTTTATTTTTAACAATGATTAGCAATGAGTACTTCCCGAGAAATGAGCTAACAATACATTTACATTCCTTATAAGAAACTGAGTTATCACATACCAACATGATGAGTTGGACGAGAGTGTGATGATTTAAATCGCAGGTTTTGTTGTGTTGACCTCGGAGTGCACGACTTACTATGTTGTAATCTATATTATGACCTTTGTCGATAAACCCTAGGTCTTGAGTGTGAGAGTACATTCTTGGTGCGATGAACGGCCAGAATCGGCGATCTTGAGGAGTTCAGAGTCTCCACAGAATAGGCGTCCCCTTCTCCAACATTGACGTGGATGAATTTTCCGTTTGTATTCAGTTTTTTTTGTTGCTCTTGAATTTTGACCTTGATTTTGACCAATTGGAAGCCGTAAGGGGTTCATATATTTGGCTTTGAATTTCGTCTTATAATATGATCACTTTCAATGGTTTGGTTTTGGTCAGATGGGTAGGTGCGTGGGTAATAACATTGTTGCAGGGTGCTGAAGTTGTCCTGATGTACAAGACCATCGAGTAATATGGTTACTAATGTATTGCTTGTGTGTGTTTTAAACTATTTTTGCAATGTTTTGCTTATGACTTATGATTATCCAGGACTACCAGAAACTAGAATGATGGTAAGTTGTTTGAAATCAGAGTAAGAAAAAATTGAATGCTCTCTCACTAATAAAAATGAAAGATAAAAGTATTAAATATAAAAAGAAGAAAGAAATTTTATTTTATTAGAGAAAAAAACTAGATTAGATACAAAACTTTTAGTGACATTTTGACATCAGTGCCAACATATTGTTTGTTATAAAAAAGATAGACATCTAGTCACGAGGAAGGATTTGTGTCACGGTTAATACAGTCTAGAAGCAAATTCTCTCTTTAAATGTTTTTCTTGGGTATGTGTTAAAAATTTGACATTAGTTCAATTACACTAAACTAGAGATTGAGTACATATTTATAAGCATAAAAATTTCTCATTTCCCCTACTCAAAATATGACTTTCTCATATAAGGAAACAACAACAAATTCCTAAACAGCTGCTAAAAAGCAATTCAAATCCTACTTAAGAGAATTAAAACAATATATAATACTAATATTCCAAATGATGGTGTTAGTGTTTCACTTTGACAGTCAGTTATGATGACTTATGAATTATGATTAACCAAGCTCTCCTTCTCCTGAAAGCAAAAAAGAAAAACATCCTGAAAGCAAAAAAGAAAAATAAAGTCTAAAAATAAATGGTAATAATTCACACGAATAAACATCAAACTCAAATTTCCCCCTTCCTCTGCACTTCTCCCGCGGTCCTTCCCCTCATTCATCCTTTCTTCCTCTCTTGATCTATTGGTCTCTAACCAAGACGTGCATTCCCTCATTTTGTTCGCTTTCTCCCTCTGTCTTCGTTGTGGCTACGGGCGATTTCTACTCCTCTAGTGGATCCGTATGTGTACCGAACAGATCTAAGGTGCCCCTTTCGCTCTAGCTCTGTGCAATTTGTTCTTGAATGGCGTAATATGGAATCGTGGCTAGGTTTTATATATGTGAATTCTGTTGCTGCCCAATTGAAATTAGAGAACGAGTGCGGATTGATTAGTTAGGATTGATCTGGTGGGACCGTGGATCTGTTTAACACTGTGATTTTGTGTTTCTTCTTCTCAGGATCTTGATTTGGTCGGAGAATGATGCTGACAAAATTCGAAACAAAGAGTAATCGAGTGAAGGGACTGAGTTTCCATAATAAGAGGCCATGGATCATGGCCAGTCTTCACAGTGGTGTGATCCAGCTATGGGACTACCGTGTAGGGACTCTGATTGATCGGTTTGATGAGCATGAGGGCCCTGTCAGAGGTGTTCATTTCCACAAGTCTCAGCCTCTCTTTGTATCTGGAGGTACTCTCGTTTCCGGTTCAGTTGAACGTCCTTAAATTTATACATTGGTTGAAGTCATAGCGTTGCTGAAGTCTTAAATGGGAATATGCATCTGTGATTTCTCCTCATCGATTGGATTTGAATATCTTGTCATTGCATGTATTCTCTGTTAGTTTCAACATAGGGGATGGAAATTGGTTAATGTAGTTATAAGCATTGTAGGTATGAGTGATTGGTGGCAAAGTTTTGTCTATGAAATTCGAGAATGAGGTTAGATATGATAATTTCATCCTTCCCTATGTAGTAGTTGTGTTCACATATTTTGGTTGGTGGCTATGGATTCCTGGATGAAGTCCTTGATGATCTGCAGTGGGAGAAATTAACTGATCTAAATTACCTATGTTAAGGACTCTCCTACATTCTTCTTTTGTTGTATTCGCATCTAGATTTTGTTAGGAAATTCTAGTAAAGGTGTTCTTAGTCTACCGAAATGGTAGTTGATGTTTATATTTTCATGTGGTTGTAGATTTTAGAGCCTGCCTTCATATTTTCATGATGTCTCTTTCAGTCACTGCATGTTCTTGGCCTCTATGGACTACGATAAGAAGAGTAGACCCATAAAGTTAGGCACTCGGATATTTTGCAGTTGTGCCAACTTGTTTCAATGATTGGATTGTTTTTACATAAGTTCCAGTTCTTGCCCCGGCTTGTTTCTCTGACTTTTGGACAATGCTTGGGTTTATACAATTATTCCTTTTCAGGTGATGACTACAAGATCAAAGTTTGGAACTATAAGTTGCATAGGTGTCTATTTACCCTTCTGGGCCACCTTGATTACATCCGCACCGTGGAGTTTCATCATGAGTACCCATGGATTGTGAGTGCAAGTGATGATCAGACGATCCGCATCTGGAATTGGCAGTCACGCACTTGCATTTCTGTGCTGACAGGCCATAATCACTACGTCATGTGCGCTTCATTTCATCCTAAGGAAGATCTTGTTGTGTCAGCTTCGCTGGACCAGACTGTCCGCGTTTGGGACACTGCTGCTCTGAGGAAAAAAACTGTATCTCCTGCTGATGATATCTTGCGTTTAAGTCAGTTGAATGGAGATATCTTCGGGGGCGTTGATGCCGTTGTTAAATATGTCCTAGAAGGTCACGACCGAGGGGTGAACTGGGCTGCATTCCACCCTACTCTTCCTTTGATTGTCTCAGGCGCCGATGATCGTCAAGTAAAGTTGTGGCGGATGAACGGTATGTTGTGTTTCTTTCTCTCCCTCTGACAATTGAATGTTATGTTGTACTGTGCTGTTGAAGCTACTTATGAAGTACCTCAATATTCGTGTTTATTTGTGTGATTGTGTATATAGTAACACCTCTACCCTTCTGAGAATGTCTTACAATGAGGTTTATAATATCCAGTACTTTATGGTCCAAGAGGGCACCAGTACTTTATGGTCCAAGAGGGCACTAAATTATTTCGGGAATAATTTTTGTTACTTCCATCCGTTTCAGATACAAAGGCATGGGAGGTGGACACTTTCAGAGGACACATGAACAATGTTTCAAGTGTTATATTCCTTGCCAAGCAAGATATAATCGTGTCTAATTCAGAGGATAAGAGTATCCGAGTTTGGGATGTAACTAAGAGAACTGGGCTTCAAACTTTCCGCCGTGAGCATGACCGGTTTTGGATCCTTGCGGCTCACCCTGAGATGAATCTTCTTGCTGCTGGACATGATAGTGGCATGATAGTGTTCAAGTTGGAGAGAGAACGACCTGCATTTGCTGTGAGTGTAGACTCTCTGTTTTATACGAAAGATCGGTTTTTGAGGTTTTTCGAGTATTCTACTCTAAGGGAAACCCAGGTGATCCCGATAAGGCGACCAGGTAGTGCCAGTTTGAATCAGAGTCCGAGAACTCTTTCTTACAGCCCTACTGAAAATGCGATTCTGCTGTGCTCAGATGTGGATGGTGGTTCTTATGAGCTTTATATTGTGCAGAAAGATAGCATGTCAAGGGGTGATATGGTGCAGGAAGCAAAGAGAGGTGCTGGGGGTTCAGCTGTCTTCATTGCCCGAAACAGATTTGCTGTGCTCGACAGAAGTAGCAATCAGGTGTTGGTGAAGAACCTAAAAAATGAGGTGGTAAAAAAAAGCAGTCTTCCCATAGCTACAGATGCAATTTTCTACGCTGGGACTGGTAACGTGCTTTGCAGAGCTGATGATAAAGTGGTCATATTTGATCTTCAACAGAGATTTGTTGTTGGGGAGCTCCCTACCACTTTTGTTAAGTATGTTGTTTGGTCTAGTGACATGGAGAATGTTGCCTTGTTGAGCAAGCATGCTGTTGTCATTGCAAACAAAAGGCTTGTGCATCAATGCACCCTTCACGAGACAATTCGGGTGAAGAGTGGAGCGTGGGATGACAATGGTGTTTTCATATACTCTACTCTGAATCATATGAAATACTGCCTTCCAAATGGAGATAGTGGCATAATCAAAACTCTTGATGCCCAAATATACATCACTAAGATTGCTGGTAATATAGTATTTTGTTTGGATAAGGATGGAAAGAATAGCGCTATGATCATTGATGCTACAGAATACATGTTTAAACTTTCTCTTCTGAAGAAGAGGTATGATCATGTCATGAGCATGATCAGAAACTCTCAGCTTTGTGGACAGGCAATGATTGCTTATCTACAGCAGAAGGGATTCCCTGAAGTTGCCTTGCATTTTGTCAAAGATGAAAGAACGAGATTCAATTTGGCTCTTGAGAGTGGGAACATACAAATTGCCGTCGCATCAGCCAAGGAAATCGATGAGAAAGATCATTGGTACAGGCTAGGAGTGGAAGCCCTTCGCCAGGGCAATGCAGGTATTGTTGAGTATGCATATCAGCGAACAAAGAATTTTGAGAGATTATCTTTCTTGTATCTAATAACTGGAAACCTTGACAAGCTGTCGAAGATGTTGAAAATTGCTGAGGTCAAGAACGACGTCATGGGCCAGTTCCACAATTCCCTATACTTAGGGGACATCCAGGAGAGAGTGAAGATACTGGAGACAACCGGTCATATTCCCCTGGCATACATCACAGCGAAGGTGCATGGGCTGGAGGATGTAGCTGCCCGCCTGGCAGCCGATTTGGGAGATAATCTCCCATCTCTGCCAGATGGTAAAGTGCCATCCCTTCTAATGCCTCCTTCTCCCATATCTTGTTCTGGTGATTGGCCTCTGCTCAGAGTTATGAGAGGTGTATTCGAAGGTGGCCTTGAGAATATGGCCAGAGGGACAGGGGAGGAAGACGAGGAAGCTGGGGACGGTGATTGGGGCGAGGAACTTGAAATGGTTGACGCGGAGGACTTCCAGAATGGTGATGTTACTGCTGTTTTAGGGGATGGTGAGGCAGAGGGAGACAATGACGAGGAAGGAGGATGGGACCTCGAGGACTTGGATCTTCCTCAAGAAGCAGATACCCCTAGAGCTTCTCCGACTTGTCGCTCTTCAGTTTTTGTAGCGCCAACTTCAGGAACGCCCGTGAGCCAGATATGGATGCAGAAGTCATCCCTTGCTGCTGAGCACGTGGCAGCTGGCAACTTCGACACTGCTATGAGGTTGCTCCATAGGCAACTCGGAATAAAAAATTTCTCCCCATTGAAAGCTATGTTCCTCGATCTTCACTCTGGAAGCCAGTCCTATCTACGTGCAGTTTCTACTGCTTCTGTCATATCACTAGCTGTCGGACGGTGTAATGAGTCGGCGAGCCCCAATGTACGAGCCCCTCCAGCACTGGTATTCAGTTTCAGTCAGCTGGAAGAGAAGCTCAAGGCTGGCTATAAAGCCACCACGGCTGGGAAGTTCACCGAGGCTCTTAAGCTCTTCCTCACGATTCTTCGCACGATCCCTCTCATTGTTGTGGAGACAAGGAGGGAGGTCGATGAGGTTAAGGAGTTGATTATCATAGTGAAGGAATATGTTCAAGGGCTACAGATGGAACTCAAGAGGAGGGAAATGAAGAGCGACCCGGTTCGTCAGCAGGAGCTTGCTGCCTACTTCACCCATTTCAACCTTCAAACCCCTCACTTGAGACTTGCCTTGCTGACTGCAATGACGATCTGCTACAAGGCAAAGAACTTCGCTACGGCTGCTAATCTGGCCAGGCGCCTCTTGGAGACCAACCCTCAGGTTGAAGATCATGCGAGGAAGGCGAGACAAGTGTTGCAGGCTTCAGAGAGGAATATGAACGATGCTACTCAGCTGAGCTATGATTTCCGAAATCCATTTGTGGTGTGTGGTGCTACTTATGTGCCAATATACCGAGGACAGAAGGACGCGTCTTGCCCCTATTGCTCTGCTCGGTTTGTTCCGGACCAGGAGGGTCAGATATGTGTTGTTTGTGATCTTGCCATTGTTGGGGCAGATGCTTCCGGCTTGCTGTGTTCCTCTTCTCAGATTCGGTAATGGAAATGCTTCAGTGCACAACAAGTACCGGTTCTCCTGAATCGAAGATTTGGCGGAGTACGGTAAGGTTAGCCTACATAATGAGCTACCGCATCTTTTTTCCCCTTCATACATTTGCTTCCGTAGCTTTTTTTGGCTTTTGTTTTTATATTCTAGTTAGTTTAGTTCAAATTATAAGAGCTTTGAAATTGAATGTAGTAAAAGAACGGAGATTTTGACCCTAGGCTGTGATGAAATACAACAATACAATATTTCACACATGCACGTTGAAAACCCATGCACAAGAGTTTGGTGGATCCAATTGTAGCTGAACCAAAGTTGTCAAACCTATATCCAGCCGACCATATTCGGTCATACACTCTAATTCTAATTATATGGTTATGGAAAAAAAAGTCAAAATCGAGTTAAATCATTCAAATTCGGGTTAAAGAAAACCAGTTAAAATTGCGTGGTCTAACCTGCAAAATCTAGTTTGAAAATGTGGATTGGTAATTTTGTAAGATATATTTCTTTGTTAATATGAGTGTAGATTAGTGAAATTGTTCTAAAATATGATAAATATATGCATTCTATTTTGCATTAGATGTTCTCACATATTATGTTAAAATATGATAAATATATGCATAATCTATTTTATATTAGATGTTCTCTCACATATTATGTTAAAACTGACTTGAGCTGGTTGAACATAATCCGACCATTAAATCTCAAACTAATTGTCAAACCACCTGATGGCAATTCGTTGACAACCTTGAACTTAGACCTGGTCAATCACGACCCGACCCGTTGATCCGACCCAAAACCGCCCGAAAAATAGAAAATGGGTTGAAGTTTTTATAACAAAACAATTTACCCGAACCCGATTAGCCCGTATTTTTTGGGCCGGGTTGGGTGGGTTGGCGGGTCGACCTGCTAGATCCGTTCAATTCCATATGTCACTAGGCCTGGCAATCGGGTCGGGTTGGGTAATTTCGGGTTGTGGCCTTTGGTTATGGGTTGGGTCATGTTGAGTTGGTTTATTTTAGGTCAAATATTGACCCAACCCATTCAGTTTTGGGTCGGGTTACAGGTAATTTCGGGTTATGAGCGCTCTCAGAAACAATATAAAAAATGTTTCATAGTTTCTTAATGAAAACAAATTTTCACATATGCATGACAATAGTTTACTTAACACATGTCAACTAACATATTCTCAAATCCTCCCATGCTAATGAAATGAAATACAAATTGCGCAAATCGTCAAAAAAACAATCACAAGAGTAATACTACTACAAGAAACACATGATATTTGATTATCCTTAAGCTCCAAACATGTCATTCAAATCCTTGTAAATTTTTTTTAAACATCTCACCAATTTATGAGTGTTTTTATCATTTGGGAGTGATATATAAAATTGAATGGGTCTAACGTGTCGATCCGCTAACCCACCCAACCCAAAAAATCACGGGTTATCGCGTTTGGGTCATTCGTGTTTCAGTTTATAAAAATTACTACTTTTCGGGCGGGTTCGGGTTGGGTTGTAATTTGCCAGGTCTATGTCACTCTCATCATTTATAAATTGATGAGATGTTTAAAAAAATTCATAAGGATTTGAAAGACAAGTATTGAGTATTAGGATAATCAAACGTCCTTTGTTTCTTGTAGTAGTATTACTTTCGTAATTATTTTTTGACGATTTATTGAGTTTGTTTTTCTTTTCATTAGCATAGAAGGATTTGAGCATTTGTTCATTGACATGTGCTAGATTAATTATTGTCATACATATGTGAAAATTTGTGTCCCTTAAAAATTTATGTCACATGTTTGATATTGTTTCTGAGAACGCTCATAACCCGAAATTACCCGAGACCCGATCCGAAACCCGATGGGTTAGGTCAATATCTTATCCGAAATTGTCCGACCCATGATGACCCGACCTATGATGATCCTTAATCCGAAATTTTCAACCCGAAATTACCCAATTCAAAATTTTCAACCCGAAATGTAATTCAGTCCCAAACTATCAAACCGACTTCTATCAGAAGAGTAAACCGTGGTCCAAATGGCCAAATCCATTTTATTCTAAAAATCCAAAAATTAAGTAGAATTCATTCAGCTTTCAAATTCGGCATCCAGAAAAGTTGCCGCCAAGGTTGGTAAACCCCTATCGAACCGTCGGTTGGACCCGGTCCGACCAGAGTCGAGCTTCAAAACAGCCTCCAGAAAACCCCCGGTCTTACTTCTAAATAGGGAGAAGAAGAGAGGAATAGGAACGAAGGAAGAGAGATGGTGGGTAGTTTTGGAGGTTAGGTAGATTTATTTTGTGCAAAATAAGTTTTTAATAGATATATGTAAGATAAATTTTATTTCAGTCATTAAATCTTTAATTACTACTTTATTTGTATATGTATTTAGAAAATGTCTAAAATGACTCAAACCGGCCGGACCCCGATCAGACCATTAAACCTCAAACCCCTTGCTTGACCAGCTCAATGACTTAAACCGGTTTGACAACCTTGGTTGCCGCGCATCAACTGCTACGTCAGTGGAGTAGGGAGGCGGCACATCTCATAATTATCGACCCCTTGTGTCCTTGTCATAATTTTGGCCGAAGAAATAGCGCGAAACTCTGGCGCCTAAGTTGTTCTCAAACCACAAATCATGAAGGTGACTTGGGCAGTGATGCAGCGGCATCGATCTCTCAAAAGTATTATCGAACAGGTAACAGCTGCATAATCCCCTAAAACGATTCCCTTCATAGTTTGCTGTAGCAGCAGGAGGAAAGGTCACCGCTACAAAGGCTTGCTTTGGTAACCAAACCGTTCCGAGAGCTCACTCTCTGTATACAAACGAGTACCCTGTGGCAGAGAATGTCAATTAATCAAACACAAAGAAGAAGAAAATACACTAGTTTTTTAACGTGGTATCGTCAGTATGACACTAGTTCATGAAGAAGATTTTCCTCTCAAGTTCTATATTTTTCTTAATTCTTAACTCATACAATGTTACAGCCGTATATATATAAGTTTGTTATCACAAATCCTAATTACACAATGGTACCTAAAATAAATTGGGCTAATTCCACTTTAACACCCCAACTATCACAGAAATGTCGCTTTTATTTTGAATTACTCTTTAGGACAATTCTAGCACGATGTATGCGAGTTTTGTGACATTTATATCCTGACCCCTTACGTTGACCGTTAGAAGTAATGGTTGATCGGATGGAAGTTAAACGTTATTGAATTTCGATGACGTGGAAGACACGTGACTTCCATGTAGATGCCACATCATTGACACATAATAGTTTTTAATATAGTTTTATAATTAAAAATACAAAATAGATAATAGAAAAGATCCATAATTTTCACTCACCCCCACCTCCCTCCTCATCCTCCATCCTACCACAGTACCACCGTCGCACTTCCATCTTCTTCTATCGATTTCCTTACCGCTATCCCCCTAATCATGGTGAATTTAGCAACCCCATTTTCGTCCTCTCCTCCCCTTTCTCCATTCTACTCCCCTAAGAATTCCCAATAAATCCCAGTCAAACCGTAAAACCTAGTTTCATCGATTGTCCAAAAGAATGCCGATAAAGTTGTTGCGCGTTGGTAATTGTGAGAAATGGATGAAGAGAATTGAGGTCCTTGAGAGGGCGTCTTATCCCTAAGACTTGCCAGCCGCAAAGAGGAATTGCATCAACTAGGACTTTATTATATTGGCCACTAACCACTCGCTCACTGGCCTCTCGGGCTTCGCGTTTCAAATTCGTTATGCTAACTGTCTCCTTCGCTCTACCGAGAGCAGGGGGAGGGGGGTGCTTCGTCCTATTCAGATATTCACGACTTAGAAGTACTTGATTCTCCTTCGGGAAGGAAAAGTAAGACGAGAATGGCAACATATCTCTATGATTGGGTAAGTCACCTATCCCTAAAACGAACTATGTAATGTACTCTATCTATTTATCTGTTGGATTACGGGAGAGCAGCTTACTAGAGGTTTGTATTGTATCATGTGTAATTCATCTAGACAATTCATTTATTCTTGTGGACTATGGGCAGTTACTTACTTTTTTTCGAACTATTTGTGATTTGGATAGAAAGGAAGCCTTTCATCTTGAAATATAAAGCTTGAAAATCACAACTCCTTATTAGTTCCTTCATCACTCATCTACTCTGGAAATTTCAAGAAAGGGCTTGAAAGTCACTTTTGGATTAGGGTTCAGATTTTAGAGATATGAGAATTTGGGGTTTTAATGGTTTATCGACATGAAGAAAGGCGTTAAGCTGCAGGATGTTGGAGGGTAGATTTGGACGAACGAAAAGAATGGGGGTGAAGGGCATTCTAGAGGTTGATTGGGAGGCTTTAGAACTGCAGGTCATTTGTAGAAGCTTTGCTTCAAAAAAGGTTCTCAAGCATGATCGTATCCCAACAGAGATGTTGAGGACTGAGAGGTCGAGGGAGGTCACTTGAGGGCGGGTTTTGTTTTCTCTTTTTTTGGCCTGCTGGTGCGAAGGGGGAGAGAAGAGGGATAGTAAGGAGCGGCGGAGGGGTAGGGTTGAGAAGAAAAGAAAACATGAAACAATGAAGGATCATTCTGACTTTCACAAAAAAGTAGCTTGAAGGATGTACCATGAAAATTCTCAAACCACGCCCAAGGAGGCTGCTTCAAACCATACAAGGAACGCAAGAGTTTGCACATCACGCCCGAACCCCTTTGGATACCCTCTGGGTTATTCCATGTAAATAGTTTCCTTCAAATTCCTATGAAAATGCATTATTAACGTCAAACTGAACAATCACTCATCGCTTCATAGTCGCGACGACAACAGACTGTGGATAGTTTGCATCTTTTCAATAAGAGAAAAGGTTTGATCAAAATCAATCCCATACTTATGTTTAAATCCCTGTGTGACCAGTCGTGCCTTGTATCGATAGATAGTGCCATCAAGAAGATTTTTAATTATAAAAACCCAATGATTACCTATGATTTGAGAACCAAGAAAACGAGGTACCACCTCCCACGCGTTTTCAGCTTCCAAGGGTTAAATTTGACCAGTCATAGTAGCCTCCCAACGTGGATCGTCCTTGGTAAAACAATAATGTGAAGGAACATAGACTGAATAAGTAGAGTAACCAACATAATCATGCAAGTGTGAGGGAGACTGGCCAATATTTGCACATCCAGAGCGCTGATGAGCAGTCACGAGAGGTGGAACAAAAAGTTCCATATCC